AAAAGGAGAAATTCTGTGGAGGTTTCAGCAATTATTAGACAACTTTCCAGATTAAACCACCACTTTGTGTCATATTCTGTTTCAACGTGGGCACGCTGGTAAATACTTACTCTATTCTTCATCTATGAAGAGGTTGTCCATCATTCACTGTCATATAGGAAATTAGAAATTACACTGGAGTCCTGCACACTTTTTGCTCTCCATAATTTCTTGTCTTTTGTTTCTCGAATTAACTTTTGATACCTTTACCATCACGTTTTTGTCCTTGTTCTGTCATACATTTACACAAACTTGTTAGTGTTATACTAGAACATTACCTTTTCTATTGTAATAGACTCTCCCACACATAATAAGTAGTAGTAGTAGTAGCGGTCGCCAGTTGGGCTCAGTGGAGTTGAGTGAGTCAGTTGATATCGGACATTAAAGTATCATCACCACAACTAGATTGCTGCGTTATTAACTATTATTGCAAGTTCCTAACGTTTTGTACAACGGACCCTTTTAGGACCGACTTAGCGAAATACAAGCCTCCACTGTGAAAACTACTATACAAAAGTTAGGTAGGTCAGTCGATGTTAGCCCTAGATACTCTTGTTTTCTTTATATCCAGTGTGTTTTAAATTTTCTAAGCCCTCTTTCTTCATTATGTGTCTTGGAACTTTCAGCTGTCTCTTTCTAATTATAAGTATAGATTTCTTTGCAGTTATTATTTTCCTTAAGATTTCCTTGTGACTTCTTCTGCATCCCCCCCCCCGTCATGACGGTCAACTACATCCGTCAGCAAGGCCTCTGATCGGGAGATTGGCGGTTTTGAGGAGCGTGGAACTATCACTTAACTGCTGTCGTTCCCAGATCCACCTTGACACGGGGTAGTAGCACCTGTTAAGGTCACAGCTATGAGCAAATAGTGGACCCCCAAACGCTTTCTCAGTATGTATCCAAGATATTCCGTCTGTCTCATTCTGATTGTAAATATAAGCTTCCTCGTAGTTCCTATTTTCCTTAAGATTTCCTGAACGAGAAAGTCTTAAGGAAAATAGGAAGCTGGTGTAGTTTGAAATCTCTTCGCTCGAGACCTCTTTGGCAACCTCTAAGCATTATTTCTCCTTCAGAAAGGCATGAGTCATTACCTGTCGCCTGAGACATTTCGAATTGTGGAATTTCCAATCTTCAGCAATTTTTGAACGACTTCCAAGACCTTCTGTCGCATTCTGTTTCAACGTTCGCACGCCAATAAATACCTATTCTCTTCAACATATATGAAGAGGTTGTCCAGCATTCACTGCCATATAGGAAATTAAATATTACATTGAAGTCCAGTACAACTTTCTTGCTCTCCACAACTATCTATTACATCTATGTAGCATCTACTCTCTTCCTTATCCTTCCCTACCATGAGCATGTGTAGTCTGAAATTAATTAATCTTTCTGAGTGGAACACCCTACTTACCAAAAGAATACGTTAAAAAGAAAGAAAAGAATACTGAACTGTTATATATCAGTCCTCCAATGTGACAGTGAATGCTGGACAATCTTGGCTCAGGTGAAAAAGTAACTTGAAAAAACTTAAATATGTTTATTTGCTAATGAAGATTTTAAGCAAATAATACACGCAAAATTATATAACTCACTCCGATCGTTCTGATAAGAAAAGAACTCACGAATTTGTTGGGTGAGTACCCCAGACTCAACAAGGAGACCTGCATCACGTGCCTTCAGGAGGGAGTACTGTCCTGTGTCAAGAGAGTGGCTACTGGAAGAACCTATATCTGGCAACAGGACTCTGTACAATGCCATACAAGCGGGAGAACCTATTCATGGCTTTCAGACAATTTCTGCGACCATATCACCCCTTATATCTGACCACCTAACTCCCCAAACTGCAATTCCCTTGATTATTGGGGGGGGGGGGTGCGCAACTGAGCAAGAGACAAACAAAACTCGTTGTAACACCAGAGATGAACTGAGGGCAAGGATTATGGCAACATTCACCAACTTAAACAAGGAGACCGTATAAAAGAATTGCAGGAGATTCCGAAGTCGCCTGGACGCCGTGGTTGAAGCCAATGGCGATTTTATTGAATAAATTTACTCTTTAGCATTTCAAAATATTTTTGTGTAATTTTGGTATATATATATCTGTTAAAATGAGATGTTCGTGTTATTTTCATTTTTGCGTGATTTAGACGATAATTTATCCATCGCACCCTTTTTATATATATATATATATATATATATATATATATATATATATATATATATATATATCAAAACATTTTCAAGATTTCCTGCCAAAACTAAAGAGTTTCTATCTGCGCATTAAGTGAGGACTTGTGGGTTCGGTAAGCACAATCATCGAAGGCTTCCGAATAGTTCCGTCTACTCAATTTCACTCATAAGGCTTGCGTCAACACGCGATTTGGTTTTCACGCAATTCTTGACGCTGGATTGGTTGGATATTAACTTCTCATGGGTCATTTAATGTCGAAATTTAATTTTCTTTAAAGCATTAGTAATTTTTTTTACAAAAATGTATTGCTATTTTTGTTATTTGTTTTTGTTTTTTGTTTTTTTCAAAAGTGTTTTTCTGACAATTTTTCTTTTAAAAAAATGTATTGCCGGCAATATTTTCTTTTCCTTACAAAAATGTATTGCTGGTAATATTTTTTTTATTTTTCAAAAAGAACGTATTGCTGTTGTTTTTTTTTACTATGAAAATGTATTGCTGGCACCTTCGCTTAAAAATGTATTTCTACACTTTCATAGTGTTTTGACCCTATTTTAGGGTTTCACTATTTGCCTATAGCTGAAATCCTAACAGATTCTGCCACTCTTCAGTGCGTTGGGATCGTATCCCCAGGCCGCTATTATCAATAAATCATCTCCTTAACCACTCAGCCACGAGCTCACAAAAACAAAAAAAAAATGAACTTGCTTCCAAAGTCAGCTTGTACCACAGATTATTTTTCCTGTACTCCAGTGCATTTTCATGGGCCAAATATCGAATATTAATAAAGGCGTAGCATGTATCAGTCCATGAAATAAAGAATCGACAAAATGTGTTTGATATTGTTCATATGACTTGGAGAAAAAAAATACAGATCCAACTTTCCCTGCGCTATGATTCATCACCAGTTACCTTGAATATGGTCTTGTTACTTTAGAACACAAAAAGAGTAAGTAAGCAAGTATCTAAATAATCTACTCTCGTAACGTATAGTTTGTTTTTGTTTTTGTTTTTTGTTTACACACTACAACGCCGAAGAAGGTAGAGCATTATTGAATGAGGTGTGATATGAACGTTCGGGGAAGTAGTAGGAAATGGTGAATATTACGATGATATCGGGGATAGATAACGATTCATCTTAGATCTGAAGCGGTTAAGAGTGTTATGTTCGGGGAAGCATTCACACGGGATTTTTTTTCACAAATTAACAATTCTTGGAATAAAATATTTAGGAGTGAAACGGCCTGCTTGCAAACGGAATTCGTAGGGAATGAGCGTGATTCAACCATGGACACAGCAACAGGAGTCTTAGCTGCAAAGGTATGATCTGGTGGTATGTAGCTCGATTGAATACGTTCCATGTAAGTAACGATAGATTGGCTTGCGATGTTGCGACTGTGGGAAAGGGGATGTAGAGTGGAAAATAAGTCACCCCACAAAGAGGCGTAAATGAATTTTGAACCATGTTAAAACCGGAAGGTTAGGGTTGGGCAATTCCAGATGAGAGCGATACTCAATTTTTGGTCTGGTCTTACTCTTAGCCAGGTACTTACTGTAGCAGTACCAGGAGCCAGCCTTTTCCAATACCTTTAGACGTCTAAAGCAAGGATCCTTATAGAAAGTACAATGAACTTTTCTATTATCACTTAGAACGTTTGCATTCTGACCACAAGCCCCGGGTTCGAATCTCACCATGGCCGATTTGTCAGAAAGGTGACTTCTTGGTATTATCGGGCTAAAGGTGGTGATCTTTAGAAAGTGCGTGAAAACCATATCACAAATTGACCTTCTGAGTGAAATTGGGTAGAGGAGACCCGATGGTTGCGCTAGCACAAAGTCGCAAGTCATCGTGACCGAGGGTTTGAGCGTATTGACCTGGTTCAGACTGTTGACAAACCTTATTAAAGAAAATGTGTAGGAATTGAACCTGCGTTTTCCCGAATCAAATGGTGGTTTCTCCTACAAAGGGAAACGCAGTTTCGAATCCTGCCAAAGGGAACATTTTCTTTAAAAGGTTTTCTCGAATACGCAGACTGGGAGACGAAATAAACACTTTAAAAAAGAAACGGGTCACAAAAGAAGTGCATATATATATATATATATATATATATTTGTTCCTGACTTAGTGTTTCTGACATATACGGATAGGGCGCTTGTATAATTTATATGCACCTCCTAAGCTGTTTAGATGTCTGGGGCAGCTGCTGACATCATTTGAGGCCCGGTTCTACACCTGGCGGCTGTGAAGTTACTTTCGAGGTCGATATATATAATTTATTCTTCTTATCAATTATCAATTATATATATATATTTGTGTGTGTGTGTGCGCGCGCGTTTGTGAGTATATATATATATATATATATATATATATATATATATATATATATATATATATATATACTTCTTTATGGTAGCGAATGTCGGACGATTTTCCTTAAGGATGAAGAAGAGACTCTAGGCGACGGAGATGTGGTTCTACAGAAGGATGCTAAGGATATCATGGACCGAGCGTGTGAGCAGCGATGAGGTTTTAGAGAGTATCCAAACAAGGAAGAGGCTTATACTTAACATCAGGGAGGGGCAGCTGAAGCTCCTGGGACACATAATGAGGAAAGAGCGCCTGGAGAATCTGAAACTCATGGATTGAATAGAGAGACAAAGGAAAACAACACATGGTATACCTAGCGGCATTAAGCAAGTGGATGACAGAACGTGGTCTGGGGGAGGTGACAGAAATACGGAACTTGTTGAGAGCTGCAAGGGGTAAAGGTAGGTGGAGAAATCTATCTATCTATCTATCTATCTATCTATCTATCTATCTATGTCAAGCTGTCAGGGGTAAAGGGAAGTGGAGAGATCTATCTATCTATCTATCTATCTATGTCAAGCTGTCAGATCGGCAAATTGACAACTACACTGGTCTGCTTTTCTGTTTATCAGTACGGTCGCCGAATTGGCAACTATACTGGTCTTTCCCTTTCTCTTTTTATCTATCTATCTATCTATCTATCTATCTATCTTTTTCTTTGTTTGTTTGACTATCTGTTCAGCGAATCGACAACTACACTGATATTTTTCTTTCTCTCTGTCTCCATCTATCTATCTTTCTGTCTGTCTATCTGTCTATCATTTCGTGGGACATAGGATAGGAAGGAAAAAAAAAAAAAAAAAAAAGGGAAAGGTTGGGGAGAGGGATGGGACGAAGGAAAATATCTGTCTGTCTGTCTGCCTATTTATCTGCCTACTTTTCATACTGGGATGAGAGAGAGAGACATGCATTAACATACACATATATAAACATACATACATATACACACATGAGTTTGTGATATATATATATATATATATATATATATATATATATATATATATATATATATATATATCATTTAACACACACTTTCACATAACTCACGCATACATATGCCCCATGTATACATTCATACATACATACATGACACATCAAATGTTTCTGTTTCTATATACACTCTTCCACATACACACATACATATACAAACATGTTTATATAAAACACACCCTTATATATGTATATATATACACATGCACATACACAGAATATATACACATACACACACACATAAACATGTATACACATAAGTACTCATACACACCTATACATATACATACATAACATAAACATCTCCATACGTAATACACTTACATACATACACACATATATACACACATACATACATATACAAATATACACACATATACACACACACACATACACATACATACATATAAATACACACAGAGATATACACACATGTACATATATATAAAAAAGTGACGATTCAAATATTTTGCAGGCAGTGTACGAAAAAAAAAAAAAAAATTATATATATATATACATATATATACATATCTACATACACATACATGCACATACACACACATACATATACATACATATACATACATGCACACACATACACAAACATATATATATAAATACATATTTTCCTTCGTCCCATCCCTCTCCCCCAACCTTTTTTTTTTTTTTTTTTTTTTTTTCCCTTCCTATCCGAATTGTCTGTGGTGTGTATATGTCACCACAAAATGTATCTTTATGTATTAGACATCCGTCGACTTTCTTTCTCTCCTCTTTTAAATCCACCCCCCACCCACATCTCCAAAAAAAAATTCTCTCTCCTCATCCTCATACTTACACTTACTCTAAATTCTGTTTTGATTTCCGGAGTTGTTTTTTTCTGTTTTCATTTTGAATTTGTAGGTCTGATGATTTGGATCGTATTACGATTCCAATGGAATAAATTATGACCATGGAATATTAGTGTTTAAGCCTTTTTATTATATATATATATATATATATCATTTAACCTTAACTCGGTGACTCAAATGTTTCTGTTTCTCTCTCTTCCTTGAAACATGTTTATATATTTATGTGTGTGTATTTATAAGTGTCTGTTGCTATGAACATGTGTGTGTGCGCGAGCGCGCGCCATGTGCGTCGACTGCTATATATATTTATGTAATAGTGAATGCATGAATGTTCGTCTCACAGATACTTACTTTATGACTTCACCCAGCAAGTCGAAATAGAATAGCCACCACGCCTGCATTACTGACGGCAGCAGAGACTAAGCACCTGCAAATGAATCAGTTGAAGAAGCTACAGAATTAAAAACTGAGATTTTTTTTTTTTTCATCTTCTTTCCTTTTTTAATTCGTGAAGGTCATCCTGATTGTTTTCCTAACGGTAAAAAAACAAAAAAGATTTATTTGAATTGCAATTGCTGTGTTTTAAAGCCATTAAAAAGTGTTGTTTGGGAATCTGGGTGAAAAGAAAAATCCATTCAAATATTTCTGAGTGAGGCAGGCAAATGAGATTAATTTAACCAATTAGTACTTGAAAATCATTTTAGATTACAGATTCTTTAATTGGTGATTTGTTTTTCTTCTAACCATGATATTAAGGGCAAAACATCATCAGACAAAACACCAACAAAAGAAAATAATTTCACTTCAAATTGATTGTTTTAAAATTAAATTATTATATACGGGGATCAACAAAAAACCCTACCAAAACGAATTAAAACGTGTGAACTGGATGTAATTGCACATTGCGCCGCTAGATGTCACATGTGGATAATAAACTGAGCCAGTCTTGATTAAATGATTTGTTTCATGCGGCTTTCGTCCTGGGTATGACGATAAACTACATCTGCGTCCTGGGTGGGACGATAAACTGCGTCCAGCAGCAGGGCGTCTGATCAGCAGGTTTTGAGGAGCGTGAAACCTTGATTGCTGGTGGTCCCGGGTCCGTCCAGGACCATGGTGGTGGTACCTGTTGGGCTCCAGGCTATGGGCAGGTGGTTAACACACAAGGCTTGGGTCGGGACACTGTGGGTGTGGAAATGGGTTTTAATACCAGGGGTGCTTTGTAAAAAAAATGTTATCAGCAATACGTTTTTGAAGAAAAAATATTACCAGCAATACATTTTTGAAAAAAAAATATTACCAGTAATAAAAATTGTCGGCATTAAATAACCCAATGAGGTTGATATGCCGTAAAACAAAACAAACCAATCCTGTGGCTTTTTACTTGTGTCTGTACAAACATTTGATGATTTTCAGGATGGCTCATAAAAAATGAAAAAATTTTGTGAAGTTTTGCTTTCTTTTAAGAAGATTGTTGTTGAAACTGTTATAATGCTTTAAGAAGATGACACAGTGTTGATAGCAGGCACGGATAGGAAACTACAAAAGTTCCCACAGAAGGTAGCGAAGGAAAGTGAGAAAAAAGGAGTAAGTATAAACTACAAGAAGACAGAATGCATGGTTATCAGCAAAAGGATAATCCCAAAATGTAAATGACAGATCGGGGATACTAAAATCAAACAAGTACAAAAATTTAAATATCTGGGAAGTGTTTTAATAGAGGACGAAAAGTGCGACGCTGAGATCCGAAGACGTATTGGGATGGCCAAAGATGCATTCCAAAAGCTAAGCAGAGTACTAAGAGACAGGAAAACTTCGTTAGAAACAAAGAATTAACTGTTGCATCATATCTGTCCTCCTATATGGCAGTGAATGTTGGACAATCTCCCCAAAGATGAAGAAGAGACTTGAAACAACAGAAATATGGTTCTACAGAAAGATGCTGAGGATACCGCGGACCGAAGATGTGAGCAACGCCGAGGTTTTAGAGAAAATGGAAACAAAAAGGAAACTTAACATTAGGAAGAAGCAGCTGAAATTTCTAGGGCACGTAATGAGGAAGGCTTGGAAAATCTGATACTCACAGGACAGATTGAGGAGAAAGGGACAGAGGAAAGCAGCGCGTAACATACTTGATGGCCTTGAGTAAATGGATGGTAGAGCAGGGTTGGAGAGACATAGCAAAAAAACAAAACTTATTAAGAGTTACAAAGGACAGGCAGATGTGGAGGGCCATGATCGCCTGCATCCTGAAGGGACACGGAGAAGAAAGAACAACATTTAAATAGAACATAAGTGTACGGGTGGCATTCGCTTTTTAAACGTGCTAAAACTTGAAGACCTACCACAATCTGGCCAACTATCAGAAAACCAAAACGATGAAAATCTTTAAAAATATAGTTTGCCGCTAAATCAATGAAGATTCTCGTCGGTTTATTAATGAGATTTCACAGGTGACGGGTTTTGTCTTGGAGCTTATGTCAGCGAGGTTTAATGGAAGATTTGCTAATGAAACGAGTTTTCGCAAAATTCACTGACCTGACGAGCTTGCCGCACAAGTTATGGAGAGCCATGATCTCCTATATCCTGAAAGGGCGACGCACATAAAAGAATAACTCATCCAATTCATCGGTCCTTTTACTTTTCCTAATTGTTAATCTCTATCTATAAAAAGCAGGATGTGTGTGTGTGTGTGTGTGTGTGTGTGTGTGTGTGTGTGTGTGTGTGTGTGTGTGTGTGTGTGTGTAACGAATGCATGGCCGCAATTTTCGACGGATTTACACCAAAATTTACATCCACATGCTCCAAGTTAGCGCAAAGGCCAAGACCGACGTTGCATTTCCCAACTCCCATCGATAGTGGAAATAATCGATTTTTTTCGTGCTTCTACGGTAGTTTACATGTAGTTTGCGGCCATTTTCTACTGGCCAGAGTGATAGCCTATAGCTGGCTGCCACGAATAGGCAGGAAGATTCTATTGGCCAGCGTGAGAGTCAACAGCTGACTGAATTGAATGTTAACTAACATGCAAAAAAAAATCGATAGCTGCATTTGTCACAAGTGGGAAAAATTTAAATCTGCATGGCACTTTACTCCAATTGGCTCATTCGCTTGCTTAAACTCAACGTTGATTCTGATTCCGTAGAACTGGGTTAGGTGTGAAAAAGTATTTGTTGTTAACATTCTTTTTTTCATTCGGTTTTTCCAGTTACGAGTCGTTTTTTAAAGCTGATCGTTTTGTGTTTATTTTGTTTAGTTCTTTTTTCGTAACAGATTTAATGTTTAGTATAGAGTTTAGAAAAAATTCGCAGTGTGAGATGGGCAAGAAGTAAGGCATGTAGCAACATCAGCACGGCAAAGGGCACTCCTTTAAAGGCAAGGAAGGGCAAAAATATTCTAAGTCAAGTGATAGCGATTGCTGTATGAGTCGTACGATTTTTGAATCAAGCACGGGCAACGCCGGCTCATGCTGCTAGTATTATATAAACAAACAAAACGGTTTGGATTTACTCGCGATCTGATTCACTTTATAAAATTTAGGCAGGAAAGATCTTATTGGTCAAACTGAGACTTGTTCAGCACGCATCGCGCGTATGTGCGTGTAAGAGAGAGAAAGAGAGAAAGGGAAAGAGGGGAGAGAGCGGAGGGTGAGAAAAGGAGATAGACGGGGAGAGAGTTGAGGGAAGAGAGTTGCGTGGAAATATAGGATGGTAGAGAGGAGGTGAAAGACGACTGAAGAGAGGAGGGGAGGGGAGAATGAAGCAGGAAAGAGAGAGGAGAGGAATCCATTAATTTCTTTTGATCATCAGATCAACTAAATGGTTGGAATAATTAATATCAAGAACCTTTCTCATTTTTGTTTTTTAGACAAATATTCCTCAGAATTAATTTCTTTCTTTAAACTTTGTCTGCTGGACCTATTCACGTTTATTCATATA